TAGGGTGTAGCCTTAGACATGCTCACTAAGCTAGAGATTATCAAACCCTCAATCCAATGATAAAAGCACATGAAATCAAGAATCAAGATTAATCCATCAAAGGGAGGCCCTGAGCTATGAACTAACAAGTTTCTCATAAATCATGCCATTAAAACCATTTCACAACCTCATTTTTATTGTCACTATACAAATGTAAGCCATATAATCATGAGAGAAAACAATCTAAGATAAGATGATAAACTCAAAATGATCATTTATAAACATTAATATTCGTTACAAAATGTGTAAACTCTAGATCATGAAACTTGGCCCATACATATATTTCATTCCCCAAAATAAGCTAAAATTAAGGCATGCTTACAAGGAAGGGCTTCATCACCTCCCTAGAAAGGGAGTTAATTACCCATGGATGCAAAGGAGGAAGGAGAAGAAGTGGTATTCACTTCCATTTTCACACCTAGGAGCTCCAAGACACACAAACCCTCAAACTCATAATATTTCTCTCTCTAAAACCTTGCAAAATGATATATCTTTCTTAAAACCATACATGCCTTCTATATACTCAAGACAGCCTCCCAACCACTTCATTTTCGTGGTCCAAAGCCCCTAGACAATTGCAGAGCAATCCCCCAAATCAAAGGATAACATTAGGTGGGAAAAAGAAAGCCCATGCTTTGATGTCTGCAAATTTACAGGCGCCCGCAGGCACAGGGCGGGTGCCCGCGCGTTGACGATCAAGAGCCCGCTGCCCATTTTGGCGGGCGCCCGCAGGTTGTCCTCAACTCTGCATACCTTTGGTAAAAAGGCCATAACTCTCTGCTCCGAACTCCAAATGATAAACCATTTAATGATTTGGAAAGCTAACTCAAAGATCTAAGTATGCTATGTTTTAATAGAAGTCCAATTCTTAATTTTGGTGGGTCAAAAATGAAGAACAAAGTCAAACCTCAATGTTGCCAGGTTGTAAATTTCAGCATTGCACACCTGGGGTAAAAATGGCATAACTCTTTGGATACAAATCTAATTGAGGCAAACTTTATGTCTATGGAAAGCTGATGAACTAGTCTTAGACAAAATGAAGGTCCCCAAGAACGGCATGCTCTGATTTTTCAACAACTCAACAAAGCCGCACTTTTAACTATCTTTGGGGAACCAACCTAAAAGTAAACAAAAACATGCAAATAAAGCTAATATGTACAATATGATCAACTAATGGACTTAACTAATGCAAATAAGGGCATTTGAATATGCAATATTCGGCGCTTATCAGCTCTCCTGCCCAACCCTTACCTCCACCACTGCTGTCAAACTTGACTTCAAATGCACAAACAATGAAGCCGAATATGAAGCATTCATCATTGGGCTCTTAACAGCACTTGATAGGCAAATTTCTCAGCTATGTATCGATGTTAACTCCAAGTTGATCATCAAACAGACTTCAGGTGAATTCGCAATTCGCGAGCCCTCTTTAGCCTCATACTGTAATATCCCTAATTTTAAAAGATAGTCTCGGCATTTTATTTATTATTTTATTTTATTTTAGGTGATTAATTACGTTTTTGGCTTAATTATTTAATTGGTTATTATTTGATTTGATTTAACTATGTAATTGTATTTAGGCTTAATTATTTAATTATTTGATGTAATTGTTTTCTTTAAATAGAATTAATTGTTTTTATAGAAATTATTGTTTTCCTATAATTGAATTACTTGTTAAATGATTTAGTTAAGTATTAATTGATTTTCTGTAATTATGTAAATACGTTAGTGGATTAGGTTAGGGTTTTGTTAGCGTTTAAATTAGGCTCTTTATTCGTTTAGGTTTTACGATTGTGGCCGGCTAGGGTTTAGTTAGGGTTTTCTATCTCTAAAATATAAGAGGACTAGGGTTTTGTGTTAACCTATAAATATACGATGATAAGTCTGCAAAGGGGTTGTAGAACCATTCTCACAAATAGAGAGATACAGGGAGAAACAGAGAGAGATAGGAAAGGAAGGCTAGTGTTTGGGTTTGACCAAGGAAAAAGAAAGAGTGGTTGTTCGTTGGTGAATCCAAGAGCAACAAAGGTGGAACAGCAGTCTAGGACGTTGACGGAAAATTTAGAAACGGTGATTTGGAGTTTCAAAGCTGAAACTCAAGGCAAGTCTCTATTATGTCTTTTTCCCTTAAACCTGTTTTCTGTGCATGCCTAGCTAGACTCCAGGGGTTTAATTAATGCTAAAACGATATAATTATGCATGCTTAATCAGACTAAAACAGAGAGTTTCATGATTTTATATACTTGTTCGTGTTTTTCTTTATGCTTAGATTTTTATGCATGAGCTGTTGTTTAAGTTGAATCTTTGCCTACTAAAACACTTAAAATAAATTTAGTATGGACGTATGGGACTTAGGTTGAAGCTTAGAGGCCTTAACAATGAAGTTTTAGGGTTTACAGAAGCTGAACAGATGAACAAGACGACTTCAGCACTAACTTAGCCTGCTGAATTGGTAACTTAGCTTGCTGAATTGGTAACTTAGCCTGCTCAGTTGGACCGCGGGCTGGATTTTTGGTTTAATTGCCTAGAATTTGCATTTTAATTGTTTAAAGCGTTGCTTGGGCTGTACAGGGTAGTTTTATTTCATATAAACCATTTTAAATGTTGTATATGATTGGTATAGACCAGTAAAATTATGAGGAAACATTAATTCATAATTAGACGAAGGAATAGGGCAAGATGAACCTAAGGGAAAAGCCGATAGGTTGCGCGCTGTTTGGTTAATAAAATTACTTGCCGAAATTTGGAGCTTCTGTGATATAATTTAGTACTGTTTAATCATATCTAAACAGTGATATAAGTAAAGTACAATACTTGCAATTAACTACGCCTAGGTTGGATTAAATTGGCATTTAGTTTGCTTTAACTGTATTAATTTATGGATGATTTGGAGAATGTAAATGCTATAACTTATTTTAGCTGTTTAAATTGTTGGAGCATGATTTTTAGGTTCTGTAATGAATGCCTACTATCATGGTATATGTATTAAATCGTAGTTATGCATATCGTGGACAATGGTTGATAAATAACAATTATTGTTTTAACAATTATGTTATTTGGAGGATTGTATGCACCGGTATGGGACGGTGGCATACTAGGGATGGATTAGTTCAAATACTACGACCTACCTAATTTGGATTGAGGTATGGGTTAACCATATAGGTTAAGTCCTACTCATATTTATGTCATCTCAATAAAGAACTGAATAACTTATTTTGGTTTCTGGATGGATTGTTATACATATATCAGGCCACTATACTAGATGGATGATATTTTGTATTAGGAGGTTACGGATGTTATATATTTATCATTATAGTGCCATGGTATGAGCTTGAGTCTTAGGACCATGGTTAGGGTGCGTATATCACCTAGGATGGATAATTGGACAGAGGTGTTGTTCCCTGCTAGGTCTAGGTACACATGACCACATTATGTGCGATTTGCATGGTATCTCTACTCAGGCTGTGACAGACCTATTGGACTAGTGAGCATCCTATAGTGTGTACTTATACATATATAGACTACTCTAGATATTGTTGAGTCTATCTCGTATATCGGGTTTCTGTATGAATCGTAGTAGAATAGGACTTGCATGTGGGCCTGACCCACTCTCTTATTTTTCAGGTGCTCGTCAGTTCCAGGGTTAGAGCGTGATCGTGCAGAGCAATACAGGCATTCATTCCTCCGACTACGTAGGACTACTTTCTTATTTAGCTTTGGATTTGGATTACAGTTATGTCATTTTCAGTTTGGGATTTTATTATTAGGGGTCCATTTGAGGGATTCCCGAGTTGTTAAGTTATTTTAGAGTGTTGGATTTTAATAATTATATTTTGAGGATTTTCAATTAAAATTCTTTTCAGCCTTTTATTATTTGTTATTTATTATTCCGATTTGTATTCTGTGTTTTGTTAAATATTAATTGTTTAATATTTCCCTCAGGTTTGGGCCTGGGCCTGATCAACCCATGTCTCGGATCCGAGGGGTATCACACATACCGCACAATCATTCAAAAGCTTCTCTCTCAGTTCACCACCGTTCACCTGGCTCACATCCCTCGATCCGTCAATCGATACCCTGATGCTCTTACCACACTCGCATCCAAGCTTGACATCTCTGGCGACACCCAAAAAATCACTGTTCATAAGCAAACATAACCTGTCATCGCTAGTCTTCTCCCTCCTAAAGACTTCACTGATTGGCGCCGCCTAATTATTGATCAAATGCAGACCTTCACAGGTTCCCTACCTCTCGCTCAGCTCAAAAGCTTTAATCTAATCCAAGGAGTTCTCTATCATCGATCCCCTTCCGACATCCTCAGTTGCTGTCTTGGGGATACAGAGCCCAACAAAGTTCTCCACCGAGTTTATCAGTAGCACTGTGCCACAACCAATATTGCCCTTCATCAACGGCTCTAGCAACAAGGTTATTACTGGCCCCAAATGTCCAGTTAGGCTACTGCGTTCCAGGGAGCATGTGTCACCTGCCAGAAATACCCTGATGAAGCCAAGGTCCTTGAGCTCAAGCTGGTTGCTTGGCGAACTCCCTTTATTCACTACCTTCAACATGGTCATCTACCGGACGACCTCGCCTTGGCCGCCAAACTCAAGCACCAAGCGTCACGCTTCCAAATTTGTGATGGTCGATTGTTCCGCCTCTCTCATGAGGGAAACCTCTTACGATGCCTTACTGGTACCGAGATCCACGAGGTATTGCACCAAGCCCACTCCCTCGAGCACCAGGGTGCATACAAATTGTTTCAACACTTGGTCCACAAGGGGCTCTATTGGCCAACTATGGAACGCGATGCCAAGATACTTATTCAATAATACAAACCATGTCAATACCATCATCATCAAATCCATACTCCCCCAACCGTGCCTTATCCTCTTGATGCCCTTTGGCCCTTTCACACTTGGGGTCTGGACCTTATTGGCCTAATCAACCCTACAGTCCATCAAATGCATGGGATCCTCACGGCTATAGACTTCTTTTCCAAATGGATCGAAGCTATCCCCTTGCGACATGCCACAGGCATCGCTGTTACAGTTTTTATTCGTGAAAACATTGTTTACCGTTTCGACATCCCAGCGATTATCCTGTCAGACAATGGCACCCCTTTTGTAAATTATCGGGTTGCTCAGCTCCTTCAGCAATATGACATCAAACAACGCCGATCTTCTATTTACTATCCCAAAGGCAATGGTCATGCTGAAGCAACCAATAAATCTCTCCTTAAAATACTCAGTCGCATGGTCACCGAGCACAAATCTACTTGGGTTGATCAACTGCCGTTAGCTCTATGGGCCCATCGAACCTCCAAGAAATGAGCAACAGGCCAAACTCCTTACTCCCTCCTCTACAAAACAAAAGTTATTCTCCCAGTTGAGATTGTCATCCCTGCCACTGCCTTAGCAGCCCGTAGTGAGGTTGACCACTTCACTCATCTGAAGGCCTTGGATGAGCGACAAGAGTTAGTAAGGCAACATCTTAAAGTTTATCAACACACCTTGGCCAAAGCTTACAACAAATATGTGCGGCCTCGTACATTCTAGGTAAGTGATCTTGTTCTCAAAGCTGCCAAGCACATTGTGCATAACACCTCCGCCCCAAAATTCACCCCCAAATAGGAAGGACCCTTTGTTGTCATCGAGGTCCAACCCAGTGGATACTGCAGATTGCAGGGTGATAGGCGCAAGATTGAACCTATAAACTCTAGTTGGTTAAAGCTTTATCACAGTTGGTTCTTTTCTGTACTTGGGTTATTTCCATATCAATAATAGCACATGCATGTTTGCTATCACATCTCCCATCTTTTGCCTATGTTAACAGAAGAGCTCAATTTTATTCACTTCACAACAAATAAGAGAAAACACATTATGGACCTGCTGGTCGTAAAATTACTACCACTAGACTACTCATAAGATAGCAAAATCGCTTCATCACAACTAAGCTCGTTATATGTTTTTTCTACAAGAGCCCACTCTTGTTCTGCCATCGTGTGATACCCCCGGATTTCCAGATGTTGGTTGGCCAGGCCCACGCCTGAACACCCGAGGATATCAAAACAAATGGCAATAAATGAACATAGAATACAATTATGATAAATAGGAATAAATAAAAATTACTGAAAGAAACCTAAAATGATAATCCAATAATGAAAACCTCAAAATAATTTTTTTATATATAAGAACTATTCTGGTACATCCAATACAAATACAACTTAGGAATCCATCTAGTGGACCCCTATTCAAAACCCAACTGAAGATACACTAAACCAAAAAGGAAGTCCAAAACTAAATATACACAGCAGTCCTACGCAGTCGGAAGAATAAGTGACCGTCTCTGCTTAGCACAAACAAGCTCTAAGACTGGAACCATCCGATACCTGAAAAATAATAGTGGGTCAGGCTCACGGATAATATCTATTCTAACTACAATCCAAACACAGACCCGATACGCAGATACATCCTATATATCTCAACAATAGCTATCTAGTCCATACATATATATATCCACACTAAAGGACTCTCACTGGACTACAATGGGGGTCTCAACCTGAATAGAAAGCAACATGCAAAAACACACCCAAAGGTGGGCATGAGTACCTAGACCTAACAGGGTACACCTCAACCGTCATAGCCAGCTATGCATCCCAATGCATATACGCTCCCTAACCAATGATCCTGAGACTCAAGCTCATATCGTGGTACCATATTCATATATCTAAAGTCCGTCCAAAACCAGAGTATGTCATTCAATTGTTCATTGATCTGACATAAGCTTTATAATCCGATTAATCACTCAACTTATTCAGTTGAGCTGACTTAACCACAAATAAAATTTAATCCTGGAAGTCACTTAACTTACTTAGTTGATCTGACTTAAATATAAGTAGGATTCAATAATTTATAATCCATTCCCTTATTCCAATAAGGTATGTCTTAGCGTTTTGAGCTAAACTGTCCCTAATATGCCACCATCCCATACCGGTGCATACAATCCACAACATCCATGTAAATTATAGAACATAAATAATAGTTCAACAATTAAAATTCAAAACAATAATCCATGTAATTGCAAAATAGAGTTTAATATTTCAGCAATTAAAATCCAAAACCTTAATCCATGTGATTGTAGAATAGAGTTTAATATTTCCGCAATTAAAAGCATGCATAGATCAAGTCTGATAAATAAGTGACCTTATTATGCATCCAAAACCAAGTTTATAATCATGCTACAGTCTGTTAAATTGTTAAAACAGAATTAAACAATTTAATTCTTTCTATCCGTTAACAGCATACAAGATTGTTTAAACTTTCCTACTGTTAAATCCATTAGCATAAAAACATTAATTCTATAGTGTGGGTCCTAATACAACATACTATAATGTTTAGAGTCCATGCTACAGTCTATTAAATTGCTAGACACAGTTTAAACAATTAAATCCTCTCTATCTGTTATATCCGTGAACAACATGCAACTTGTTTTAAACTTTCATACTGTTTACAAATCATTAGCATATAAAATAAAAAATAAAAATAAAAAAAAATTATGCATCCAAGGGCTTTAATACACAATGAATTAATATTTAGAATCCTCTTAATATCCCAAAACAGTTTAGGATACCAAATTTAACCAAACAGTGTGTAAATCACCTCTGGTACGTATCAAAACAAGAGAGCCTGCTCACAAGAAATTAGAGCAGGCTCAAATCACCTGGAGCCGGCTCTGCATAAGAGGGAGCCGGCTCCCACTTCCATGGAGCCGGTTCCCTCCCTCTCTGAGAGCTCTGCACCTCTTCTCTTCGTCTGCTTTGTCTCCGACCGTTTCCAACCTTTCTGTTCTTCTTTAATATTGATCTTAATTGTCTACAATACATCCAGTAACATCCCAGTCCTTTATTTAAATCATTTTGCATTAAGAACAATTACGGAAACAGTTAATGATTCAATATGTTTTAAGGTCCGACGATGCAATCCAATTTTGCAACAACTATACCAGTTAAAATTAGACACATGCAGGTGAATAATCTAACATATACTAAGCATGCAAGATTTAGTTAATATCCAATTAAACCTTAGAGATCATCTCGGTATGCACAGAACACAAGTTAAGGGGAGAGAGACATAATAGAACTTGCCTGTGTGGTTTTGAATCAAAACCTCGTCGCCATCTTCCTAAGCTTTCCGACGACGTTCGTTCACTGTCAACCTCTTACTGCTCATCCTTCCCTCCTCCTAGGTCCGTCCTTTAAGCCACAGCCGAAACCTTAACTGGTATCTCTCCAATTCTCTCTTTGTTTCTCTCTATAACACTGTACGTGCATAGGGTTTTTGCCAATCCTTTTGAAGACGTATAACAGTATATTTATAGACACCAATAAAAACCTAGGTCCAATTCTAATTAGAGATGGAAAACCTAATTAACTCCTAGTCTAGTCAGCCAATACGTGAGTCATTAAATGTAATACCCCTAATTTTAAAAGGATAGTCTCAGCATTTTAATTATTGTTTTTTTTTTCATTTTATTTGATTATTTGGCATTTTTATTTGTTTAGTTGCTTAATTGTTTTAATTATGATGATTTAATTGAATTAATTATATTATTTATTTTATTTATTTGAGTTAATGTTTTAAATTGTTAATGTTCTAAATTGTCTTATTTATTTATTTAAATGACTTAGTTGATTGTATTCGTTGTACTAGTTTTATTAATTATTAAAATATAGTTAGGGTTTTATTTTTCTGTTTAGGTAATTAAGTTTTAGTTGACTTAGATATTGAATGAGTGTTTTATTTTCCCGTCTCTAAATTAAATTGGATTTAGGGTTGGTATTATTTCTTAAGCCTATAAATAGAACAGTAGGTCTGCCAAGGGTTTTTGATACCCCTATACACGTACTGGAGGCAGAGTGAAACAGAGAGAGACTTGTGAAAAAAAAAATAGGAAACCTAGGGTTTGACAAAGGGGTGTTGTTCGTGGGTTGAACCAAGGAAGAACAACAAGGAGTTAGAGCAGTGAAGGATCGCCGGAGAATTTAAGAAGACGACGTTGAGATTTTGAACCAAAATCTCAAAAGGCAAGTTTTATTCCTAACTCTCTCCCTTTCACTCGTATTCTTTACATGCCTAACACAATTCTAGGAATAAATAATCATTAAAATTAATATGGTTTGCATGTTTGATTTGCTTTAAACAGTACATGTTCATAAATTGTTAATTGCTCGTTTTAAATTCTTCTTGCATAATTCATGATTTAATTTACGTCGATTAGTGAATAAAGAATTTAATTGGTTCTAGAACACACTGGAACATAGTTCGTACACCTAGGAACTCTAGGAATGGAGGACAAAGGATCGGGAAGTCGCCGGAGGCAAAACAGGTGAGGGAAATGGGTGAGAGCCAGCTCCTAGTTGAAAGGAGCAGGCTCTCCTTCACAAAGAGATGGCTCCCTCATTAAGGGAGCCGGCTCTAGGGGACTTGGAGGCGGCTCCCTTGAAGAGGGAGCCAGCTCCATGAAGCTTGGAGGCAGCTCCCTCTTCAAGGGAGCCTGCTCCATCAATTTTTATTTTATTTTTTGTGTTCCAATGACTATTTTTGCTTCGGGGCTTAGATCTTGAAGGTTACAGGTTCAGTTTGAAGCTGTATTGGGGGTAGTCAAAGATGTCCTAAGCCTTATTAAAACTTTCGAGAAAAGATTAATGCAAAACAAATCAACTGATGTTTATACTTCGACAGTAGACAATATTTAAATAAATTAGTTTACTGTTTCTGGATAGAAAGGATTTTAATTGCTTAATCTTAGAATAGCAATTCTCAGTGATGATTTTTCAGTTAATCATGTTCCAGTGTTATAAAATAAGCATGTGAATTTATATATATTCTATTATGCTTATTTGGAATTAATTGGTTTGCTATTTCTGGATGGAAAGGATTTTAAATTGCTTAATCTTAGGATAACAATTCTCACTGATGATTTTTCAGTTAATTATGTTCCAGTGTTATAAAATAAGCATGTGAAGTTATATATTCTATTATGCTTACTTGGAATTAATTGGTTTACATGTATGATCTGTATTATCAATTATTAGACTTTGTGGAGTAGTATCGAATAAGCCTGTTAATTATAAAATTTTATCATGCTTAGTATGGAACAATTGATATTTATATTTTATATTTTATTATTGATTGTTAAATATATGGATTAGTTGATAATTACATTTATTATTTGTATTATCAACTACTGGATGTATGAATTTTATGCATCGGAATGAGACGGTGGCATACTAGGGATGGATTAGCTTGAAACACTAAGTCCTACCTATACT